TTGATATATATATATATATATATATATATATATATATATATATATATATATATATATATATATATATATATATATATATATATATGTATACGTGGTATATTTTTATTTTGAGTTATTATTATTATTATTATTTTAAAAATTATCTTAGAACTTATTGTATAGAATTATTGCCTTTTTTTCTGTCTAAAAGTTGATTATAATTTATTGAGAATTTTATTTTTATTTTTTTTTTTGTTAAATTTTTTGATTTGTGACACAATTTAATTGTAATTTAATTTTAATTTAATTACGTAAATAAATATTTCACACGACGAAATGGAAAATTAATTTTTTGAAATGTGAAATTTTTAACGTATTTATTACGTTTAAAATCCAAAAGAAAATTTTTCTATTCTAAACTATTTTTTATTTTTATTTATTTATTTATTTTTTTTGAGTAGAAATTAATTTATTAAAATCTCACAATAATTTTTATTAATAATAATTATTTTAAACGTTTTCGAAAATATTATTATTATCAATAAATTATTTAAATGAATCACGAGGAATAAAAAAATGGCCGCAAGTTTTGGGTAAAATTGTTTTTGCATATAAATTTTTTTTTAAAAATGTTTTTTGATTAAATTAATACCTTTTTTAAACAAAATATAAAACCTTAATTAAACCTTGCTTATTAAACCTTAATCAAAAAATAATATTATATTAATATTTAAATTCAATTTAATAATTTAAAAAAAAAAAAAAAAAAAAGAAAATAATTTATAAAATGAAAAATGCAGACAAAAAAAATACTAACTAATATAAAATAATTAAATTTTTTTTTTTTTTAAATTAAAAAAAGGCATAATTTCAATTAATAATAATAATAATAATAATAATAAATAAATAAAATATATTATTAAAAAAAAAATGGTCCAGATTAGAAATTATTAAGGAAATAATAAATAATCATTTAAAAAAAAAAAAAAACCGTTAAAAAATCATTTTAATAAATAGAAAATTTTACGTGTCGTTAGTTTATAATTAAACGCATCAAATTTTTTTTTTTTTTTAATTATTTAATTAAACAAAATTATTATTATTATTATTATTATTATTATTATTATTATTATTATTATTATTATTTTCTTTAATAAATTTTAAAACAATAAATTTATAATTTTATTTTATTTTTTTATTTTTTTTTTTCTAATAAAGATTTCTCGGTCGTATTATTTACTAACACCACTAATTAATAAATTATTATTATTATTATTAATATCCGTATCCGTATAAAATTTATTATTATTATTATTAATTAAATTTATTTATATTTTTAAAAGCAAAAAAAAACCGTTAAAAAAAATGTGTAAGAATAAATTTTAATTGTTTTCTTTCTTTTTTAAATAAATAAATCTTACCTTGGTAATGACATTTCAGTACGTACGTAATAAATTTTTATGTAATTTTAAGAAAATAAATAAATTTATTTATTTATTTAAAATAATAATAATAATAATTTAAAAAAATAAACTGTGTTAACATTAACTGTATAAATATATATTTTAATAAAAAATAAATTTATAATAAAATTTCGACTGATGTGTTTACACGTTATCTCATGGAGAAAGTTAAATATTAATTATATTATTATTATTATTATTGTTTCAAAAATAATTTATTCAATTATATAAATAAAAAAAAAATTTATTTATTTAATTAAATTTTTGCACCCTTTTTTAAAAAAAATTTAATATCATGTATCGTTGATTGTGATTGGGAAAATTATTTTAATTAATAATTTATTATTTCCGTTAATTCTTTGTATATGTTGCGATTTGAAATAATAATAATAATAATAATAATAATAATAAAACAAATAAGGTACATCATCTTGTGAAGATGCTGAATTAAGAGGACGATGCACTCGACATCGTCAACACATCAATTAGTAAACAACTTACCCGTATTACCGTTAACAGCTACTCCTAATTGTACCTTTTTTTTTTTTTTTTAATAACTTGTCAGTTTTTTTTTTTTTTTTACATAAGTAATATTATTGTTTGTTTAAAATCTTTCACGTACTGCATTTTAATAGATTGATTGATTTAATTATTAATTTAAAAAAAAAACAAAACAAAACTAAGTCAAAAAAATATTTTAAAAAAACACCAAAAAAACTTGTATTTCAAACTCCGGCCAGCATATCACTGACCACAAGAAATCCGAGTTAGTAGTTGTTAGTACCAGTTCCACTTGTTATAAAAAGGGAGAGGGAACGACTTCATCTTGTTATCAACTGACCATTTGTCTTTAATTATTATTTTTCACATATTATATTTGGTAAAATCTTCAAGAGAGAGAGAGAGAGAGAGAGTATTTTAACAAAAATTAATATCGATATGAATTGAAATTTTCCGATAACTAAATTATATTCTTTAAATTATTTAATTTTTAATTATTTTTTATATTTTTTTTTTTTTTTTGATAATGTCCAAAGGAGTACTAAGGCCTTTTTATAAATTAATAATTAAATGTCAATTGAATTTCTTTATTTTATATTTTCATTAAAAACTATAAAATTAAAAAATTTTATTTACATAGTTTTTTTAAATAATTGTGATTGATTAAATTTTTACATCGTTAAATACAAATATATACATACATAATGTTTAAAAAAATAATTAAAGTTATTAATACGTGATATAAAAATTAAAATTTAATAAAGACGTTGGTGATATATTTTATTTTAATTTTCGACATCGCTGTACGTATCTTCGTCATCATTTTCAACCATAAGTCTTTTAAATCCATACCGTTTATTTCCAGCTGGAAATCAAAAAAAAAAAAAATTATTTATTTCATTGGAATGTAGAATTATTATCGTTATTTTTTTTTTTTTTTATATAAACGTACCTTTTGTTTTGTAATAATGATATGTAAATAATATAAGGCCCACGGAAATTATTATAATAACAAGACCAATCGCATAAAATGTGTTACCGTTTTCAATTTGTTCGGTTTTAGTTTTTGAGAGTAATTTTTCCGCTGATTTATTATTATCATTATTATTGGTTTCTTGAATTGACACTTTACTCTGATTTAAAATATTTTTTTCATGAAATTGTTCTGCTGCGAAATCTAAAACGTTAAAAGTATATAATACAATATATATATATATATCGTTACATTTGTGTAACTGTTTACGTAACGACAATTACTTATTTCGAGCTTCCATATTTTAAAGGGATTCAATTCTACAACGTAACAATAACGACCGTTTATACTAACGGCTAAATCGTGAGGATTCGTAAGAATTTGATCCATTTTAAAATTTATTTTCTTCCCACTTTTTGTATCATAAACAGAGATTCTCGAGTAACTTTGTTGGTTAATTAAGGCAAAAAGAATACCATCTGAAATACAATAGGTACTATCAGCCAGTAGAAAAATAGTATATGTTTTAAATTCGAAAACATATAATTTAAAAAAAAGGTACCACTGCTATTGTAATTGTTCCCAGAAGCGTAGGTAATACTAAAAACTCTGTCATTAAAATTTTCTTGATAAGTACGATTGAATTTTCCAGTTAGAAAGCTGTATGATAAAGTTCTAAAATTTTCCCTATCTGCTACATATAATAATTGTTCAGTTTGTGACATAGCAAGTGCATGAGGCAAATTTAGCATGTACATATTTTTGCTAAAATCCCCTGTAAAAAAAAAATGGTAACATTTAAAATACTGATCGACATATTGATTACTATAAAATTACTTACATGCTATTACCTATTTGAATGGTTTTACAGTAAAATTCATTCAAAATATTGATTTCATTACATAATTATTTAGTTAAATAGTTTTATTACCTATTGTTGATCGTCCAATTATTAATAATAGTTTTCCATTTTTATCGAATTTAATTATTCTTGAATTACAATATCCATCGCTTACATAAAAATCATTTGTTTTTCTGTCCACAGCGATATCGGTTGGTTTGCAAAAATGTTTTTCATCACTTCCTGGTGTCAGAGGAACACCCAAAGTAAGAAGAGGCTGTCCCAAATCAATATTATCTTTTGATTTCAATTTAAAAGGTGAAAATTTAAAAACTTGGTGTAGGGCAACATCTGTCACCCACACATTATCTTCATGATCGACTGTTAAACCATGGGGTAAGAAAAAACTAAAATATTAAAGACAATATTGTGCATCTTCTTTGTATTTTTGTTTGAAAAATATCTTATTGATAAAACATACCGATTTTTTCCAGTTTTGCCTAATAGAGAACCTGATTTAGGTTCAAGAACGACAATTGTTTCTTTTGTGATTGGACCTTGGCCTAAAAAAGTGTTGTTGACAGAAAATGTATTCGAGTCCCATTGCCGGCTTGCTCTATGAAAGACATAAATATTATCGTAACTGTCAATGCCGACTCCTGATATCTGGCCAAAATCAGAATAAAACGGCCAATTTTTCACAACTGTGAAATTACTTTCACTCTGTTCATCCGTTTTTACACATTGTAAATGTCGAAAAAGAAGTAAAAAAATATAGTGAAATAAAATAACTTTTAAATTCATAGTAAAATATTAATAATTAATTCTCTTCATTTAGTCGTATAATTTTTTAATTATAAAAAAAAAAAAAAAAATTATTAAAAAGTAATAAAGTAAACTAAAATCGCGAACATTTTTCAAATTTGTTCTAAAAATTAGTTCAACGTGTCATTAGTTAACAGTAAATTTAAGTCAAGTAGTGATATATTTAAGGTTTTTAAATACTGTTTTAACGCCTATATAGGCAAAATGATAATATTGAAAAGTACTAATCCTTAAAAAAATGAATTCTTTAAGTGATTTATCTCAATCTGAAGAATATCTTAGTTTTAGAAGTGTCATTCCATTAAAAAAAATAGTAGTTGATTCTCATTCATCCAAAGTAAGTTATAAGTTTTAATTTAAAAAAAAAATTATTAATTATTATTTTATTATAAGCCTACACTTAAAAATTTATGAATATTTATTTATCAATTATTTACTTTTTATTTTTATTAAAATTTGTATTTTTGATGTCAACAGGGATGGAAAATTTATGATGCAGGACCTAAAACAGTTAAGACACCGCTTGTTTGTTTACCTCCAGTCAGTGGAACTGCAGATGTATTTTACAAACAATTAATGTCTCTTAGTGCCAAAGGATACAGAGTTATATCTGCAGAACATCCACCTTATTGGACTGTCAAAGATTGGTGCGAAGGCTTTAAAAAATTAATGGATCATCTTGGTTTAGTTAAAGTTCATATTTTTGGGGCATCATTAGGTTCATTTTTGTCATTTTTCATACAATTTTTACATTTAATACTCATAAGTATTTAATAACTATAAAATTAAACAGGTGGTTTTTTAGCCCAAAAATATGCCGAACATACATATCACTGTCCTAGGGTGGCTTCTTTAATTTTATGTAATACATACGTGAACACATCTTTTTTTAATTATGGAGATTCTGTAAACATGTGAGTTTTTTACTATACATAAATTAATTTTAAGAACTAAAATAAGATTAAACAGCTTTAAAGATTAATTTATTATTTAAAATTTTTTTATCTAATCTGTTATTATAATAATTAAAGGAAATACAAAAGTTCTTACAAACTTGAGTAATAAGTAATAATATAAAATATTAATTTTTGTTTAAAAAATTATCAGTAACAATTTAGCTTAAGTTTATAATTATTCACAGTTTTCGGATTATCCCTTCAATGTTGCTAAAGAAAATGGTGATGGGAAATTTTTCAAATAAGCTAATGGACAAAGAAATTGCAGACTCTGTTGATTTTATGGTAGAAAAGGTTAGAAATATTAATAATTAGCAAAATATTATTGAAAGAAGCATTGTGCAAAAATTCTTGAAGAAATTTTTTAAATTATTTTTTTGTTTTAATAAAAAAAAAATTATTACATTTTAGCTAGAGAGTCTCTCACAGCAAGATCTTGCCTCAAGACTGACAATAAATTCCACTCCAAGTACTGTAGATATTAATAAATTAAATGGATTACAAATTACAATATCAGATGTTTTCGATGATTATGCTTTATCTCCGAAACATAGAGAAGTTATGTATAATTTTTATCCTCAAGCAAAACTTGCTCATTTAAAGTCTGGAGGAAATTTTCCCTATTTAAGTAGAACTGATGAAATTAATTTACATTTGCAGGTAAGTTTTTTTTTTTTTTTTGGTTTCTTTATTTTAAAACTATAAATTATTATTTACTTTCCAAAAATTTTATTTTAGATTCATTTAAGACCATTTTTAAATACTTCCCTTAGTGCATTAGAAGAACTTTAAATTCTCAAAAAAATTTCAATAATGTATACAAATTTGATAAAAAACTAATACTGAACACAAACATGACAATTAAATTTAGTGATTGATAGAGTGTACTATAAAAAAGTGAAATATACATTTATAAAATAGAAAAATTGCTCACAAACCACTAAAAATATTACATTAAAAAAAAAACTATAAAAATGTTATTTACTCTAATATTCATATTTAAACTTTTTATTATTATTATAAAATTTTTATATATATTTAGAAATAAAAGATAATTACATGCAGTTTTATTTCTTAAAGTTTTATAAAAAAATTAATACATTCATATTAATTCATACATTCATAAATTTTTATTAAACTTTTTTTTTTTTTTCACAACTTATATTGCAACTTTATCTGAAACCCTTTTTTTTAAAAAAATTGTGACAAACTCAATTAAAATTTATTCATTTCTTCGAAGAATCGAATGAATGTAAATTTAAAATAAATTTGTAATAATTTCACTTAAAATCCTTATTGCATTTTTCATAGTTTCGAAAGCATTACTCGATAATTAACCTTTAACAAAAATTTTATGATTTTAATAAATAAATAATTATTGAAAGTTTTTAAACTAATGCAATTTCAAAATTTAAATATTAGGATGTATGATAAATTATTAATAATAACATTAAACTTATTTTTAAGCAAGTTAAGATAGGAAAATAGAAAGGAGATATATAATGTAAAAAAAAAAATAAAATTTAAAATATTTTTTTTAAAATTTTTTATTTACCAAATTTAATTTTTTATTAAATGCATAATAAATTATATAATTTATTAATTAAAATAAATTTTATTAAGCCAACTAAATTTATTTGATAATTTTTATTTTATTAAATTAAAAAGTACTATTTGTCAATAATTTTACAGTGATATTCATTAACATGAATATCTTATTATACAATTTTATTTAAAAAAAACTTACTACGAGAGATTAACTAATAAGCTCCTCCACTCTGTAAAACGAAAATAATCGAATATATATTCAAATGCTTCGATTGCAATTTTTATATTATTATATTAAAACTTACATTTATAGCATCAATTTCTTTGTCATCTAATAAAGATCTTCTATATTGAACAGGAAGCTCCCAATCTTCAATAAGTGGTAACTGATGAGCTTTAACTGAGGATGTCATGGTTTTAGAAGTTTTACCTATATCAGCACCTGAACCTGAACTGGAAGCTGCTTTTTCTTATTGTGAAAAAAAAGTTTTCAATTTTATTTCAAGTTTTACGCATTAAAACTTAAAAAATGTAAGGTAAGTTAAAATTTAAATATTACCAACGAATGGGCCTCCTTTTCTAAATTTAATTAATGGTATATGTTGCTTAACTGTCTAAAATTAATATGAACGGCTAAAATTATAAAATAAATTTTAAAAAATTTATTATTATAATAAAAAAAATTTTAGGTTATTACTTTCCAAGATTTTAATATTATTCCAGACATCATCGTGATGTTTTTTTTTTTTTTTTTTAAATTTCTTTACTATTATTTTACAAAAAAAAAATTTTTCAGCCTTTACTTAACTAACATAGTGAAATTAAACAGCTGTTCAAATGACCATAGAGGTTCATAAATTTTACGTTAGAATACTTTTACCTTCTTCTCTATCGTAACTTATTTAAAAAATTACTCTAAGATGCTTTTACGGTTATTTAAGGATAAATGAAAATAAATTTCAATTTAATTATAAAAAGAAAATTATAATTATTTTGCACTTATTGATAAATACTATAAGAGAATTATTTATTAGTAAATTTTCTTTTTTTTTTTTACAATGGAAATAGTTTTCTACGTTGTTAAAAATTTTTTTTTATTTTATAACCATTATTGTTATTTTCTTAAAATTGCTTTCATTACACTTTTAATACTTTTTAAATGTAAATATATATTAGTATACATACACATGACATTCAAAAAAAAAAAAAAAACAAATTTATAAGTCTTAATTGATAAAATTTTGAGAATTGTTTGAATAAGTTACAAACTTGGAAACTGTTACATTTTGTTTCAAATCTCCAAGCACAAGACGAATTGGGCTATCTTCAACCTGAAATGTCAAAAAAATTAAGGTTATTCGAACGAATTTTTTTAAAGATTAAGTAATAATAATTTCCTTACATTTGGTGAGGGTTTAAAATATTTTTCATTCAATCCTTTATTTTTATTTTCTGATTTTATCAAAGTTTTCTTATTCGATTTTACACTTTTGGAATTCTTTTTCGCTGATTGATTAATTTTTGGAGTGCACTGTGTATTTCCAATATTTTTATTTTCTTCATCAGAAAAAGGTTTATCCTAAAAATTTGATAAAATTTTTATAAATTTTCAGTAATATTTTAACTTTAGTTACCATTAATTATGTTAATACCATTAATATGGGAAATTTTGTTCCAATAGTTGGAGTCATTTTAAAAAATTCTTCATTGTGTTTATTATTATCACGTTTGGAAGAAGATTTTTTTCCACTTTTAAGATTAGAAATGAGTGGACTCTGTTTTATTACATCATTTGTAATTAAGTCTACAGAATTTTCTGAGCCTTGTATAATTCCAGTATTATTGTCGCTTATTTTTTCATTATTTAATTTTTTCTTCATGGCTGAAAAAAAATTTAGGGGAAATTTATTGAGAAGTTTTTTTAAAAACCTCATTTCAAAATTCATGCATAAAAACTTTGACAGTATTTTTACTATTTTAACTAAAATAATAATAACTAAATTATTTTTATGTTATTTGTGGATATATGTATGAGTACATAAAATCTAAATATGCAAAATACAAAGATATACTAAAAATTTTCTTACCATCAATATGAGCACGAATATTAGATTTACCAATTGGTTTTTTTACAGTCTTGTTCTTAACTTTCTTTTTATTTTTGTTAATATCTGTTATTTCTGTTTCCTGCACATTCCAATTGTTACTTTTTAGGAGTTTCAATTTTTCAAAATCACTATTTATTTTTTCAACTTCAATTGATACCCAATCTTGAAACCCTTGAAGATCATCTATTTTAACAAATGGATCTTTTGATTCACATTTTTCAATTAATCCCTTGAACTGCTTGAATTTATCTGATGTTAACAAATTGGTCTTTCCTTTAATAGAATCAATTTCATCTTTTATTTCGATGGGAATTTCATTATTATCAACACAATAATTTTCCCATTCTTTACATAAATCAAGCAATCTTTTTGTTTCTTGCTCTAAAAAGGTCCTGAAAATAAGTGTTATATGTTGCTTAAATAGATTAAAAATAAAGAATCACATTGTACAATACAATACTGATACTAAATCTACAAAATACCTGAAAGAAAGAATTTTATTTTGAAAATCATTATCTTCTTTTGTTTCTGTCTGTTTTAAAGAAATTCTAGTATTTTTTTTTGTAAATGGACTGTAACACACTGGTTGAATACTCTCATTTTCTGTTTTGTCAGAATTTACATGGTTTGCATTTTCAGAATTCGATAATGTAAAAGATGTTTCTTTTAAATTCATTTCATCATTATCATTATTTTCCGACTTGCCTTTGCTTCCCTTCATAAGTTTTTTACTTTTAGTAATTTTAGGAGAATTAGGATATGTTAAGCTTTTACTTGCTGGTAATTCTGATACTGATTTAGGCAACTTAAATTTATAAGAATCCAATGGTTTAATTTTGCCTTTATCTATTTTGCAAAATTTATTCGGCAAAGGCAATGCGTTTTTATTTTTAGGATTCAATTTGCTTTTTTGATCACTTTTGTCAGTTTGTTGTGCTATTGCTCTTGATTTGCTTCTAGTCATAATTCCATCAACATTTTCTTTACCACTCTTAGATATTGCACTATCTGTTACAAGCTTCTTTTTAACATTCCAATTACTATTTCCAACCAATGGAGAACCGGTAGCAGTTCTTTGAATAACTCCTACTTTAAAAACAGGTTTAGCTTTTTTCTTAGCCTCTTCCAACCTTAATAATTTTTCTGCTTTCCATTTTTTAAGCATCTCTGCTCTTGTTTTTTGTTTGACTTCTAAAAAATAAAATTATTATTGTTTTGATTTAAATATTGTAAGATTTACTAAATTTAAGCCCTTATAAAATTAGTGGAAAAGCGTTTAATAACAATATTACAAATATGTAATAAATATGTAGTTGATACTTAGACATATTACAGACTGAAAAACAAGTATACTATTAAAAGAAATTTATTATAAGGAAAATAATTAAAATGACTATTTAAGTAATTTATTAATGCATTATTAGTAAGAAAACTAATTTATTTTAAAAGTAAACAATTTCAAAATAAAATTTTTCAATTAAAATATTTGAAAAACAACTAAAACAAAGTGTAAATAAAATACTTAACAAAACAACTTTAGTAATCATATAGTTTTCTTATTGATACTAAGAGGACATACCCATAGGCTTAAATTCCGGTGTTTTACTAGACTCAACTCTTTTTTTCCAAAATAATTCTCTCTGTTTTTCTTGGCGATCGGTAATTACATTTTGACTTCTTTTAGCCAAAGATTCAGCTAATTTTAAAGTTCTCCTAGTTTTATACAAATCTCTAAAATCCATTTTTTCTAAAAATGACCGTTACAATTTGGCGTCGGCAGGGTGGCCAACAATAAAGTAAATTATTTCTATTCATAATAATTTTATTATTTCTCACGGCATGCGTAGTATTGCAGTGTGCATTAATAATTTATAAATAAGTGTTTTCTAATGAAAAATAAATTTACATTTTTACACCGTGCAGAATTTGATTGTTTTTACTAAATTATATGTAATGGATGATGTACCTGATATACTAAATTCTAACTATGAAAATTTAGAGATATTTGGAGATGACAAATCTAAAATAAAAACCTTAAGGGCAAATATAGAAGGAATTGATACTGATCTTGCACTTTGTGAATACGGGTTTGTTTATTGTTATTAAAAAAAAAAAACTAATATTTTAAATAATTTTGTTAAAATACTTGTTTTTTTTTTATTTAAATAATTTCAAAGTTTCTTATTTTTATTTAGTGACAAGAATTTTCTAATACTTACCCAGTTTCAAAAAATTGGATCTTTGATATTAGTCACTAAAGGAGCAGCAAAAAATTTAAATGGTGTCGACAGTATATATGAAGTTAAAACACTTATCGGATTAGATAGTCAAGAGTATCATTTAGTGGCTAGGTACCTAGCAGAACAATTAAATATATCCAAGCCAGTTTTATTTAGCATTTGCTTAAAAAATCATTCAGTATCTACATTAAAAACTATTGCTAAAGTTTTAAAAGATAATTTTAATTTTTAATAATAGCTAGTTTTTAATAATAATTCAAGTTAAAATGTCAAAATATATGTTTGGTCAAATTGTCATAGGACCACCTGGTAGTGGTAAAACCACATATTGTTATGAAATGAAAAAATTGTTAAAAGAATTGGATAGAAAAGTTATTGTTGTTAATATAGGTAATAAATTTTTCAGAAAATGTGTTACTTATTAATGTATCACAAAAAATTAATTATAACGATTATTTCAGATCCAGCGAATAATCTGGAAAAGGGTGATGGAACAATAGATCTATTTGAATTAATAACACTTGAGGATGTAATGGAAAATTTAAAATTGGGTCCAAATGGTGCACTTATATACTGCATGGAATTTTTAGAAAAAAATTTAAATTGGTTGGATCAAAAAATATCTTTGTATCCCAATCATTATTTTTTATTTGATTGTCCTGGTCAAGTAAGACAATTTAAATATTTTTTACTTTATTTAAAAAATCAAACATTGTATAATAGCGAAAATAATTATTATTATTATTAAAATAATTTAGTAAAACAATTTTATACACTTATAAAGTAATTAATATTAAATTATATTTTTAGGTTGAATTATATACACATCATCAATCCATTAAAAATATATTAAATCATTTGCAAAAAAAATTAGGGATGCATCTTTGTGTAGTTCAGCTCATTGATTCACATTATTGCAGTAGTGCAGGTATTGTCCTTTACCTATTTAAAAAATTTTTTTATTTTTTATTAAATCTGTGTTTTTTATCAAACACAAAAAAAAATTTTTTTCAGGTAAATTTATAGCGACTATATTAATGGCTTTATCAGCAATGTTACAATTAGAAATGCCACAAATAAATGTTCTCTCAAAAATTGATTTGGCTCAAAAATATAGTGATAAACTTCAGTTTGGTATAGATTTTTACACAGAAGTATTAAATATGAATTATTTTTTAGAATCTATGAATGAAGATCCCTTTACAAAAAAGTATGTATATTTAATTTGACTTGTACATTTATAAATTCTCAAAAGATTTTAGAATTAATATTTTTTTTTTTAGATACAATAAATTAAATGAAGCGATAATATCTTTAATTGAAGACTATAGTTTAGTGTCTTTTATTCCTTTGAACGTGAAGGATAAAAAAAATTTATTAAGAGTTCAAAAACAAGCAGACAAAGCTAATGGATATGTTTTCGGTGCTGGAGAAGAGAAAAATGTTTTATCTTTATTGGCTTGTGCTGCTGGAATCGATTACGAAGATGAAACATTGAGATTTTTAAATAATAAAAATCAAACTCCTGAAAATAAAATTAATCTCAGTGAAGATTTATTATGGGAAATAAATTAAAAATAAGTTTTATTATTTTCAGAAAAAAAAAAAAAAA